AAAGGTAGTTCACAAAAAATCCTCTTTAATTGAAGATTTGAAGACCAAGATGTTGTGGCCTCGGGTATGGTCGCAGTCTCCTTTCGACTTATAGAAGTGGTTTGACCTCGTTGTCGCGTTCTACATAGTCTCCCTGAACACAAGACCAAGTTGCGACAACGAGGTCAACTCACATCCTCTTTAAGTCCAGAAAAAATGGGCTGAACTTTCGTCAATCAAGCCCATAGAGAAATGATCTCAGAGTTATTGCTCACTATTAAAAAGACTTAAAACTAATACTAGGTCAAGATGGCAACTGGCCATACCATACATGCTATAAATATACACTACTAAATATAAACAAAATACATATTATATAGGGGCAGATAAAGAATGCTTTGCTAAATTCCCCTTCATGATAATCTTTTATGTTTGAGTGTGTGTGTGTGTGTGTGTGTGTGGACGTGTGTAAGTATGAATACACGTACGCCCACGCATACACATACTCATTCAGAAAAATACTCAGACTAATATGATATGAAGCTAACTAGGGCATTTTATGCCTAAAGACGTTCATACACAAACTTTCAGGTGTTATTTGGCATGATAAGACATAGAGTGTAATGTGAAAACTGTTAGCCTTCTTGACTTAGTGCTAGGTTGACGTTTTTACAGAAATGAGATTCATTTATGATTATTTCTGTCCGTTGGCATGAAAGACGAAAGCTCAGCCCGGAGGAGAATATCTCGTCAGCTGTGTCGGTCAGAAATAGCAAACGATTACAAGGCAAAGGGAAACCGCCGTCGCCCTGTCGTGAGGTGGACGTATAAAGCTTGTCGGCGATAACTTTTGTGAGAGATAAAAGTTTCAAAAATAATACCATTTCCGAATATTCATCAAAGACCAGGTAAAATTCTTCTTTTTATGCCGAAATCTCGTTTGCTGCCTTTTAATGTGATTTACTCTATTTTAGGAGGATCCCAGTTAACTAGTGTCAGTCTTTTGATTCGCATTCGTCTCATAAAGTTACCTTACAAATTTGTTGAATGAGATGAGGAAAGAGGAGGTAGAGAAGGGCAAGCTACCTCGGGAGTGACGGAAACCGAGATCGGAGGACCGCCATCGGCAACAGGGAATCGGATCCTGTCCAGCAGGTAGATAAGATAGTCGCCCTCTTGAGTGTGAACAGGAAGGCTCAAGTTGACCCAGAGATTCTCTAACGGTGAAGGTCCCCGGTTCGATACCATGTAGATGTGGCGCACCTCAGGCCCCAGGGTCTCCGGGTGGACTCGCTGCATCTCGTTGATCTGAACAGAAAAGTTGCGTGAGTCGATCACTGTGCGGTCGATCGAGGAGGACGAGATCTGGCATTAAAAAGAGACGATATAAAACCCGGATTAAGTATGAAAAAAGTCGTTATAAGAGGGTGCGACATACCGGGACTAAAAAGGATCAGGAAAGAGGCAGTACAATACAGCAAATAAAATTAAGTCTAGAAAAGAGTCAGGAGTGTTACAGCAATGAATGAAATAATGAAAGTATAATCTGGGATCGCGAAGTAAATCAGAATCGAGTTGTGTGGCTCACCAGAATGAGCGTAGGCGACTGAGATTAGCAAGGGTTGGTAGGGCGAATTGGCACATTTTTAGAATGTATATGTGTATGTACAGTACAGAGCAAAAACATATATATATATATACAAAAACCGAGTTTTTTGGACTTTCTTGGGTTAAGGTTACATACCAATTTGCGCGTATTCAATTATACAGTTGTTTGCTTACAAATTATATTTCTAGTAAGTAGTGGGTTTGTTTTTAGGGCAACTTAGACCAATTATGATTTCATGCTAATGTCATGAAATCATCTCACCACAACCCTAAATAGATTATACAAAAACCGAGGATTTTGGACTTTCTTGGGTTGGGGTTTCAAGGTGGACTGAATTGGTTTGTTTGTACGCTTTTATGCAAACCAACAAAATCACACGTAAGGTAGTATAGTATTACACACCAATTTACGTGACTGCGATAGACCGATTTGAGAAGCGAGTGGAGTGACCCAGTAGCAGTGTCGCCCATCAAAAGGGAGCAGACTTTGTCGCTACCCTCGACCTAACCCTCCCAGTCCCACCAAGCCGCTTAAGTCGGTATACACGAGGAAAAGTAGGCTTTCCAGAATTCCCATAATATATTAGCGCTGAACTCACAGTC